AACGCTGTTCTGGGTCACCAAAGGATCTCATCTTGTATCATTATTTATTCATAAATTATCATCAAGAGCTTCATCCTTGTCTAGTGCCTTCCTTTGGTGATAATTTTGGAGCTGCATTTCAGAAAATTTCAGAAAATTTCCAGTGCTGGCATGATCATTATGTGAGGTAGCTGTAATTGGATCAACCTGTTCCTTTTGCTGCAGCTGTAGAACATTCCTTTTTTTGGTGTGCTTTTTCTCTTCCAACTTCTTTTCCCTTTTGCATGTCACTGTTTTTTTCCTCTCCTGCCATTAAATCCCAGTGGTGTCACTGTACATTTATGTGAAGCATTTTATAATCTTCAAGGAGCATATATTTTTAACGGAGCATTCCCTATCAGTTTGGATAAATACTGCATGCCCTGAATTTTGCAAGCAAACTGGAAGCAGCACAAAAGGCTAAATTCCTTGAATTGCTCACGAAGCCTCAAGCATTTACATTCACCACTGTGCAGATTATGTATGATTAGGGTTGGCACATCTCTGCAGTGATACTCTCAGCCTGTGTGCAGTGCATTTATAACAGGACCCCATCTGACAGTGAGGCATAAAACTGGGGTCTTGACAGTCTTGGGATATTTAGCAATCCTATACTAGCCAGGTGCACCATTCTACCCAGTTCACCTGTCAGGATGCTAAGTTATTGTTTAATACGAGTTTGGGAATATAAAATAAATACTCATTGGATTAAGTAGCTAAGACACTGAAAAAGTATGGATCCAGTGATGAAGGAATATCAAAATATCACGTCCTCAGTTGGTGTAAATCATTACAGCTTTAATAAAATCAATAGACCAAATCTCCAGCAGGCATGTCTACTAGGCCTGTGTGAAGCAACTAGTATTTGCTTCAGATTCGGATTCAGGGGACAGTGATTCGATTCGGTGATTCAAATCACTGTCCTGAATCAATTCCGAGTCTCCAAATCAGCCACACCCATCCCCCAGCCCAGCAATGGCTGCCCCACCCACCCCAGCTCTTTGGGAAAAAAAGCCCTGACTCAGCAGGTGCTGCTGGGCCGGGGGGAGGGGGTGATCCCTGCTGTCCGCCACTGCCCCATGCTGTGTGGGGGGCTCTGCATGAGCCCTGCGACCCCCTCCTCCTCGTTCCCCCAGCCCCCCCACTGGTGCTCCACCCGGGCCAGGTCCAGCCCTTTAAGAAAATAAAAACAGAGAAAAGCTCCGCACTCACCGCTCCTGCCAGTGGGGAGGGGGGGGCAACTCCTGCTGCCCCCCACTGCCCTGTGCCACATGGGGGGCTCTGCATGAGCCCTGCAAACCCCGAGAAGTGGTGAGACCCGGGGCTTTTCTTTGTTTTTTCTCTGTTTTTTTTCTTAAATGGCCAAGCTGGCCTGGGCGGGGCACCCATGGGGGGGCTAGAGGAGCAGGGGGCGTGGTTGGAGGGCTCATGCAGAGCCCCCCATGCAGTATGGGGCAGTGGGGGCAGCAGGGATCGTCCCCCCCACACCCAGCAGCACCCGGTGAGCACTGGGGCTTTTCTTTAAAGCACTGGGAGCTGGGGGTCGGGGGGTTGGTGGGGGCTCCCTGCTGCAGCCACTGGGGACTGCACAAATCATCAAAGCTCTCAGAATCTTTTCGGAAGATTTGGAGAGCTTTGAATCGATGCAGACCTTTTAATTGTTCCCCTGATCCGATTCGGATTTGGAGATTCAGCCACTGAATCAGGCCGAATCTCCTCTGAATCAAATCACCACTCGAAGCTTCGCACAGCCATAGTGTCTACATATGCCCATTAATGCACTTGAATAAACTCCGCAGGTTATTGCTCTGGAGTTTATTGCTCCCAGGTGCCACATCTTCACGTGTGTCTGAGACCACCACGTTTTGAGCTGTGGTGGAGTAGCCTCAGCTGGTGGGGGCCCCATGGGTCGGCCTGCCAGGCCAGGGCTGCTCCCCCTGGCTCAACATGTTCCTTTGGGGCTGGCTGGGGTACAAGGGTGCTTCAGCTTTGGGCTAGCCAGCAGGCAGCCCCCGCACTGAAGCACCCTCATGTCCCAGCCAGCTGAAGCATTGTCTATACATGTGCTGCTGCAAAGTTTTTACTCTTCAAAAAGACAGTACTTGTACTTACAAGTACTATCCTTCTTTGGATTAAATTAATTTATTCCAGCCTAATAGGGGCACATGTAGACATGCAACATTTACTGTGCAGCTAATTAGTCTACTGCACAGTGAACGTCTCTTGTAGGTGCACCCAGCTGATATAAAACAACATAGCAATGTATTGTCCCCAGCTTCACTTCTTATTAGTTACAACTACCTGAGCCTCTTGAGTGTGCAAAGTTGGACTGGAAATATCTTAAACACTGGGTCTCTTGCAAGATTTCTGGTACTTCAAATCTGTTTTGTGTGAAGAACTGCCCCCCAGCACTAAAACATCTGAGCACTTCATTGTCTTTATTATAGTTACCTTCACGATATCCCCGTGAGTTAGAGTAGTGCTATTATTGCCATTTACCCATGAGAAAACTGAGCTGAAAATGGCTAATTGGCTGGCCAGAATCATACAGGAAGCCTGTGGCAAAGCAGGAAAGTGAAATTGAGTCTCCCTGGATGCATCTACATGTTCATTAATGCACCGTGGTTACTGTGCATTTACTTTAGTATTTGTATAATCAAGTACTAAATAGATGTGCAGTAACCAGAGTTACTGTGCAGTAGTGCTGGCAAATGCCTTTTAAGTGATGCTACTGTGCAGTAACCTAATAATACTGTGCAGTAATGTATTAGCACTGTTTATGCTGTGACGCACTACTGTGCGGTATTATTAGGCTACTGTGCTATTAGCGTCTTGTGTACATGCACCCCCTGGGTAGTACTTTGAACGTGGGACCACCCTCCCTTCTGTGGAACAGTCTGGTTCCTGGGATTTTAGTATTTCTAATTTGAATCTGTCAGTGCTGAATCCCCAGGGGAGAAAAATTAAATACAGGAAGTATAGCCAAACATTTCCAAGTGTCACAAAAGCACCAGAATATAAATTTATTCCTAAACTTGTTCGGAAATGGGGTGTTATTAGAGTTTTAGAAATGTTCTCCAAAATTTTTGCCATTATTTTTACCTCACCCCTTCCTGCTTTTTACTGAAAACAGTATTTTCAGGCTTTTTTCAAAAATAATTTTGAGGGGAGATAACATTTTTTTTCAAAAAGTTCTGAGGGAAAATGTGTTTTTCAGGTCATTCTAGCTATTATTAGAATGCCCATCTTTAAAGGAAATATGCATTTTTCCCTTTTTGCAGCCAGTTTACATGGGGGAGATTTTTTTTTGAAAATTCAAAATTTCAACAGAAAACAATCATGCACATTTCTGTATTTTCCATACTCTTTGTTCACTATTTGATCTAATCTATCCTATGGCTCATATATTCTCCTAGATAAGAAACAGGGTGGATTCAGGCACATCCTGCATGTATGCAGTCCTGGGAGGAGGCTTAGGGAACTCCTGAACTATCACTCATGAAGGACACAGTTAGGGCCTCAGTTAGGGCGGCTAGGAGCTGGAACCAGCTTCCTAGGGAAGTGGTGCTGGCTCCTACCCTGGGGATCTTTAAGAAGAGGCTTGATGACTACCTGGCTGGACGCATTTGAGTCCAGTCTTTTCTCCTGCCCAGGCAGGGGGTCAGACTTGAAGATCTACAAGGTCCCTTCTGACCCTATTTCTATGATTCTATGATTCTATGACACAGGCAGACTGCTGCCCTAGCACCTGATCAAAGTATGTATTTGTGATTAATGTAGGCATCACTCCATCTTGCTGAGGGGGCATAGCCAACCAGGCCAAGGGAAGGACCATGGCCCCTCTCCTACACACCTAAAACAAGGGATAACCTGTTTCACTTTTTAGTAGCAGAATGAAAGGGTTACAGATGAGCATACTCCTTCCATGTTGAGTTATTCTTGCATCTGCCCTGCATCAGCTGAATTGATTAGGTGAACCTGCACTTAGCAAGCATTCTTCTCAAAGGTAAAGACAGACTTTGGCTTATTTGACTATATTAGGTATGTCATACTATATCTCTGCATGTTAACAGTTCACATGAATACAACCTGAAGCTGAATCTTGCAAATGCTGATCCTCTTTCAAACTCTTAGTATGACAGAGCCTCAAATGCACTGGGGACACAAGGAAACAACCCCCCACCCCCCATGTTCTATTTTAGTATATCAAGTCTAATGTCTATTGGCTGGAAGCTGTCACCAGACGTGACCATATGTTGCCTAGTGGTATTACAAGTAAATCCTAACTGAGTGCAAATTATAAAGATTAAAGTCACCTCGGATTTAGCTGCATTACGATGAAGCAAATGTATTTCACAGCCCTGTTCAAAATGCTGAAAATAGTCAGCACTGAAATTAATGGGCTGTCTTTACCTTAGATTTAATGGGCCATTTCAAATGTTCAGTATTTCTAGATGAGAGCTTGTAGCTGTAGAATGAAAATACAGTTCATTGCTGACCATAGGCAAGAAAAGACCAAAGATGTTGTATTGTAAATAATCATCTGGGCTATACCTGCAAAAAATTAAATACTTGCAGAGTTAGGCCACTGCAAAATACTCCTCATATTATTTTTTATAGGTAGCATTAATAGGTTGGATGATTATTATTCTAATTATGACTCTACATCAAACAGCTTTGCATTTAATAGATTCACTGTCAAGATAATTCTGGACTAGTTTATAATGGACACTGCTGTATATATTGAAAACTATTATCTGTCAGAAAGAATCTTATAAGCTAACAGCTTGGTATAAACATCTCCTCATTGACTGAATTTTATTATTGTTTCATAAGAGATTTGTGAAGTGGCATGATGCTGAACTTCATCTATTGGTGCACTTTGGCTGATGCACTCCAATTTAATGAGATTAAAGGTTTAATGCAGGTTTATCAATTGAGTGCTCCCAGATTTATCACTGGGATTTCAGTGCTGATTCACAGACACAGAGGACTGACAGGGAGCTAAGTTCAGCTTGATCTACAGGGGTTTCTGATTTCTTCCCAAGGTGCAGTTTATTTTTGTCTCCTTGCCGATTCAAAATGATCAGGGAATATCTCCTGCTGTTATCATATCTCTTTTTCTCTGGTGTGTGCACTGAGGAAATCTTCCAGCCAACTCTGGTACTGGACATGGCCAAGATTCTTCTGGATAATTACTGTTTCCCTGAAAACCTGATGGGGATGCAAGAAGCCATTGAACAAGCCATCAAGAGTGGAGAGATCCTGGATATCTCCGATCCTAAAATGTTGGCCAGTGTCTTGACAGCTGGTGTGCAAGGCGCCTTAAATGACCCAAGACTTGTGATCTCCTATGAACCATTGGCTCCTACAGCTCCCAAGCAAGAACCTGAGGCTTTCCCCACTCATGAGCAGCTCTTGAATCTTATCCAGCATGTGGTCAAGTACGAGCAGCTGGAGGGCAATGTGGGCTACCTGAGAATTGACTATATTATTGGCCAGGATGTTGTGCAGAAGATTGGGAGCTTTCTGGTGGAAAAGGTATGGAAGACACTGATGGGAACATCTGCTCTAGTGCTAGACCTGCGTCATAGCACTGGAGGACAGATCTCTGGCATTCCCTTTGTCATCTCCTATCTCTATGAAGCTGACAAGGTGCTGCATGTGGATACTGTATACAACCGACCCTCTAACACCACCACAGAGATATGGACACTGCCCAAGGTGCTAGGTGACAGGTACAGCATGGAAAAGGATGTCATTGTGCTGATTAGCCAGCATACCACTGGAGTATCTGAAGATGTGGCTTACATCCTCAAGCACATGCACAGAGCCATCACTGTGGGGGAGAGGACTGCTGGGGGCTCTTTGGACATCCAGAAACTGCGCATTGGTCTTTCTGATTTCTACATGACAGTACCTGTGTCACGGTCTGTGAGCCCCCTGAGTGGGGGTGGGCAGAGCTGGGAGGTCAGTGGGGTGATGCCATGTGTGACCACTCAAGCAGAGCACGCCCTTCAGAAAGCCCTGGCCATTCTGTCGGTGCGCAGAGCAGTACCTGAAACCATCAGCCACCTCATGGACATATTACAGGACTATTACACCCTTGTGGAGCAGGTGCCTGCGCTGCTGCAGCGCCTCACTGCCTTTGACTTCTCTTCCATCCAGTCTGCAGAGGACCTTGCTGCCAAGCTCAATGCTGAGATGCAGGCTGTGTCTGAGGACCCCCGCCTCCTTCTCCGAGTCACCACACCAGATGAAGCTGCTATCTCCCCACTGGAGGAGAAGATTCCAGTGGCTCCCAGCCTGCCCAACAATGAGCAGCTGCTGCACGTCCTGGTGGACACATTGTTCAAGGTATCTGTATTCCCAGGCAATGTGGGCTACTTGCGCTTTGATGAGTTTGCCGATGCTTCAGTGCTAGCTAAGGTGGGGCCTTATATCAGGCAGAAAGTATGGGAGCCCCTCCAAGCCACTGAGAACCTGATTGTAGACCTGCGCTATAACCCTGGGGGCCCATCCTCATCTGCTGTGCCCCTGCTGCTCTCCTATTTCCAGGACCCTGCTGCTGGCCCTGTCCACCTCTTCACTACCTATGATAGACGCACCAACCACACGCAGGTACACAATAGCCAAGCAGAACTTCTGGGGCAGCCCTACGGAGCCCACCATGGCATCTACCTGCTCATCAGCCATCATACCGCCACAGCAGCTGAAGAGTTTGCTTACCTCATGCAGTCCTTGGACCGTGCCACTCTGATTGGTGAGATCACAGCAGGGAGACTGTCACACACTTGTACTTTCCCACTGTTGCAGCCTGAGGGAGACATCACTCATGGCCTCAGCATCACAGTTCCTGTCATCACTTTCATTGACAACCATGGAGAGAGCTGGATGGGTGGAGGTGTGGTGCCTGATGCCATTGTACTGGCTGAGGAGGCACTAGAGAAAGCTGAGGAGGTTCTGGCTTTCCACCAGGGCATGGGAACACTTATAGAGGGAACTGGCCAGCTCCTAGAGGCACACTATGCCATTCCAGAGGTGGCTGGGAGGGCTAGTGCCATGCTAAGCACCAAGAAGGCCCAAGGTGGTTATCGCTCTGCTGTGGATTTTGAGACATTGGCTTCCCAGCTTACCAGTGATTTGCAGGAGGCCTCAGGGGACCACCGACTTCATGTCTTTTACAGCCAGGTGGAGCCAGCCCCAGAGGAACAGCCCCCCAATAATATCCCAAGCCCTGAGGAGCTGGGCTACATCATTGAGGCTCTTTTCAAAGTTGATGTATTGCCAGGCAACTTGGGCTACCTACGCTTCGACATGATGGCTGAGGCAGAGACAGTCAAAGCCATTGGGCCACAGCTGGTGCAGATGGTATGGAACAAGTTAGTGGATACCAATGCCATGATCATTGACATGAGGTACAACACAGGCGGCTATTCCACAGCTGTGCCCATCTTCTGCTCCTACTTCTTTGAGCCTGAGCCCCGGCAACACCTCTACACTGTCTTTGACCGCAGCACTTCTCATAGCACTGAGGTGTGGACCCTCCCCCAGGTTACTGGCAAGAGGTATGGCTCCCTCAAAGACATCTACATCCTGACTAGCCATATGAGTGGCTCAGCAGCCGAAGCATTTACCCGTTCCATGAAAGATCTGCACCGAGCCACTGTCATAGGTGAGCCCACAGTGGGTGGATCACTTTCTGTGGGCATTTACCAAGTTAGCAACAGTTCATTATATGCCTCCATCCCCAACCAGGTGGTGCTCAGCCCAGTCACTGGCAAAGTGTGGAGTGTATCTGGGGTGGAGCCACATATCACTGTCCAGGCAAATGAAGCCATGATGGTCGCCCAGCAAATTGCTGCCTTGCGGGCCAAGGTCCCCGGTGTACTGCAGACAGTGGGGAAGCTGGTGGCTGATAATTATGCCTTTGCAGACATTGGGACCAATGTGGCAACCAGGCTCACTAACCTCATCAACAAGGACGCCTACAAAATGATTACCTCTGAAGAAGAGCTGGCCCAGAAGGTAGCTGCTGATCTGCAAGCTCTCTCTGGAGATGTGCACCTCAAAATAGCCTACATCCCAGAGCACTCCACGGACAGTATCCCAGGGATTGTGCCAATACAGGTAAGTCTCTCATGTGCCTAGCTGCTGTGAGTCCCTACCATCTGTTGGGTGGGTGCTACGTGGTCTGGGATCAATGAGTCAGGAATTCCCAGACCTGATTGTGGTCCATAACTCTAAATCACCACTATTTACCAGCCTCCAGAAAGAGGACAATGGGCTTTGGATATTGAACTCACCTCAAATCAGTAAAGTGGCCAGGATTTAGGTTTTTTTACCTGCAGCTTATACATCAATACCTGCTGGTTGACAAAAATCTTCAAGCTCTTGGGCTGTTGAACTAATATGTCTCATAACCAGTGAATTTACATGTGAACTTGCTGTAGAGGGCAGTGGGCTAAAGTAGTAGTGTTTATTATAGGGAGTACTTCTTCTACCAGAATCCCCCCCTCCCCATGTCACTTCTACTTCAGTGCTATTGTTTTGTCCTGTTATAGAATCATTCTGTATATAAAAGGGCTTCGTCCGTCTGTCTGTGTTTGTCTGTCTGTCCATAATGCTCTTGGAGCACTCTAATTGGTTGTCTCAGCAGCCAATCACAATGCTCCGCACAGACAGACACACCCAGTGGGGCACCGCCATGACCGTGGGGATGCTGGCCTCACCCCCCACCCTCAGCCCTGCTCCT